AGCATGAGAAAACCAAAGTCAAAATCGACCACACATTTCAAATGAACATCAAACACCAATCGAGCCACTCAAACAACAAGGAAGTGCTTTATGCTTTCAACAAAATACATTCGAGATTTACACATTTTAAGTACAAACACCACAAATGAAAGACAGACTAATGAGTAAACTAAAAATCGAAATTTAAAGAACATCCTTTGCTAGCTTCACTGGTTTATCTTTCAAAAATGCGACATCACTATTTGGTGTGGTAAGCAGATGATGATGATCTAGCGCCTCCTCGTCACTATCTTCCGTAACAGATGAAGATCCAGATTCCATCCCATTTTCTGTTTACAAAAAGGCACGAGTTGCTTTAGTTAACTAAATAGTAGTGCATGACAATAAAAAGCCTTCATCTCCATATGCATGCATATTTGGACTTGTAACTCGACTTGAAAGCAGCCACTTAAATGGTATTACAAACAAATACTATGATCAATAATGAAACTTATATTAATATGAGGAGAAAAAATATTGTTTGTTCACTTTCATAGTACTAGTGTAGTTATTCAAGAAAAGAACAGTAATCAACGTTCAGTAAGCATTAAATAACAAAACCGAAATTGCAATTGTTCGAAAGAACTGCATAAGCCTGCCAGATACTGTATCTGGCATATTGTTCGACAGAAATCTTGTTCTGTAAATGAAAGCAAAAACCTTATGGTGCAACGCTGACTTGTTAACCTTTTATAACTTTTCTCATTGAAGAAGATATTCTAAGAAAGGGAAAGAATTTTCAGAGTAAGTTATGTAGTGATGAAACTGTGATGAATATTGCAAGCTTGAGTAAGTAGTGTCAACCATAAGATGACAATGAAATGAGTCAATGACAGTTGATTCAATGATTTTCCACTTCGCCTATTTTGTTTGTGGTTGTAACCCCAGCCCGACCTGCTTTCTATTTATTTTCTGTTTATGTTTCTCTTTTCCATTATTGGTTTCTATTTTTATTTTCTTTTTCTAGTTTTAGTTTCTATTTTTTATTTTTATTTTATTCTTCTATCTCTATGTTCAATTCTTTTTCTTCTTCTTTTAGTTTATTTCATTTCCTGTTTCTGATGTTTTTGGGAAATTTGAGGTTGATTTTGCCACTTGAACATAAATATGTATTGCACCATCTATACTAATTTTTTTTTTCACACTCCGGCTCTTATGTTGTTGAGTCCTCGCCACGGCCTCACATCACACCTCGTGGCCGACCATTGGGCACATCGCTTTGGGTCGCCATCCGCCAATTAAAAATATGCTAATAAAAGTAGAAGGTAAAAAAAATTACTAGTCCCAATGTCAAGTTCTATTCTTAGAAATATTAAGTCAAGAAGACAAAACACAAGGCAAAAAGATTGGCTGAACGTGCAAGGATTCTTATACTAAGGTTGTTAAGCAACACAAGCATTTGTAATAGACACCCAATTAGAGAGAATATAACACATCACCAAAGGTTTTTGAATTCCGGAATTTCTATAAGTAGCAGGTAATGAAAATGACAAAACTACACAACATAAATCATAATGAGTAAGAAGAACTTGCCTGAATACATTTGATTTTCCGGAAGAGGTCTGATCGCTGTAGTCTGGATACTTTCAGGCAGCAGACAATTACAGAAAGCACCTGAATTAACAGATGACTATTGTGAGACAGAAGTAAAACAGTTTTAGTGCACCGTATTATTAGACACCCTATCAGCACTGCGAGCATGGAAATTACGGGGGAGAAAAAAAAAACATTTTCCTTGGTTTTATTTAATTTTACATGCAGACATGCAAACACAGGGGTTAGATTGGGGTTCAACCAAGCATGAGAGATCTGCAATAATTGCTAGCAAGTACCGACTTTCACCTAAACTAAGATTATACTGACATAGTAGGAGATCGAGGCTAGTTATCTAATTTTTGCACTGTATAGGCATCATACGGAACAATATTTTTCTGTATATTAGTACAAAAAATGCAATAAAAATATTTTCTCCTCACCTACTCGAGCCAATCGATTAACCCACCCAGGTATAGATTTGCCAGTTAGGCGCTGACATACTTCATCAGTAAAATGGTTGCAGTTTTTTGAAATCAAATGGTATGTATCTCCATGATATTTGTTCGATAAATGCTCCATGAATGACCGGAATTCTGAACGAGACATGTCAGTGCTGCCCAAAGGAATTGAGCGCCGGAAGATAAAACCAGGGCAACTTCTTGGTTCAACCTCAAACACTCCACTGGTTGAGAACTCATGAGCTCCGAAGCCATACTCCATGTCATGAACTATTCCAAAAAGATTGGAAACAGATAAAGATAAATAAATTTTAAAATAAGCACATAAATATTTCTATCATGGGACAATAGAAAATAAAAGTGTACACAGAAAGGCCATACACACGCACAAAGAGAGAGGGAGAGGGAGAGAGAGGGAGAGAGAGAGAGAGAGAGTAAACCATTTAGTTAAAACGGAAAGTTTTAATACCTTCAATTCCGGAATGATAGATTCCAAGCCCAAACCAATAAAGATAGTTGTTTATAGGAGTAAGATCATATACATTTAGATAAAGCATAGCCTGGCATTTCTCAGCATTGTTCTGTTCCGACGGTGAACTATCTAAGCTGGATGAAATTGGGAACAATCTCATCGTATCTAGCACCAAGCGACAGTCCAACAATCAGTGCACCAAAAAGGAGTATATTTAAAAGTATCTCCTGAAATTCAACTAAAACCTCCAGTATTTGATATCCTGAAAAGCCGTAATAGAAGTCAAATAAAAAAAAAAAAAAAAAATAAAAAAAAAAAATGATGGCCATTTTCGTCCAACAGATCACACGAATAATCTCAAAACAAGGATGATTAGGTTAATTTCTCCAAGCTTTTAGTAAAGTGTTCCATAGTCCATACAACAACGTAGTCGATTCAAATAAACAAACAAATCGAATACCACAAACACATATTTAGGAATTGATTGTATCAAATGAGGCAATTAATTTATCCAACTAAAGCTGCACGCATAGATCACGAATAAAATGATCGGTTGACCTGCATTGTGGCAGTGACCTCCTGGAAGCGTTTAGAATTTGCTAATGCCTAATCCATTCAATCGTTAAAAAGAAAATATATATTATAAATCGGTTGAAGCTTGTGCAATAATGAACAAGTTTATAGAATCTAGCAGCTGGGTGTAAAGCAAGGATAAACCAATAAATCTCAAGAATTCCAATTTGGCAAGGGACATTGTCTTCAATTTATAAAATAAACTGGTAAGATTTTCCGGGAAAAGAAATCGCCCATAATAACAATAAAATCACTCCTAAAACAACATGAAATTTGACGAGGAAAAAACCAGAACAATAAATGATCGGCCGCAATTACATTCTCTAAGTTCAATAAACAATACTTGAATCAAGATAACAGAAAGAGGAGCTCACCGTAGAGAGTATCGCCTCCAGAAAACGGCGGAGGCTACGATAAACTAAAATGAACAGAAACACGCAGTCTCCGGTGGGGGCGTGTGCACAACCGTAGGCGGAAACTTTCGCACGGTTGTGAAGGCCTTTAGGCGCGCCGGAGAAATACACTCACGGCGGAGATCAAAGGGGAGTGTGGCGAAGGTTGAAAAGGGGAAAAATGAAACGGATCGGTTCGGTGGATATGTCATATGAGTATGGCATTAGTGAGTTGTTTTTTTTTTAAACTTTTTTATTTTAATCTGGAACCGTTGGATGATAAGAGATCTAGCAGTCCCGACCTTTTGACAAAGATCAACGGGTAGGCTATGTTTGGAAATGTTATGACCCTGATTTGGGTACCGTCAATTAGTGGTTGTTATTCGAGCTGAGTTAAATTGAGACACATGTTAATTTGTGTCCGTTTAACAAACAAGTCGTCTTAACTCAATTCTTTTAACTAATATGCAACCCGTAAATAATATTAAGCTTAGATTTATAAATTAAATATTGAATTAGACAAAAGGAGTCTAAATGTTATGAGTAACATTAAGCTTGAATTTTTAAATTGAGGTTTGAGTTGCAATAAGGAGTTTATATATTATAGAACTATTACATCTTATATATTATTTTTTTTTTCCAACTCATTAACTATTTAATATTATTCATATGTTTTGTTCGATGCAATGGAAATTATTTTTACAGTGAATCAAAAAATTATCACAAAATATTTTTCTATATTATTTGTTTCAAAAATAAATAATACTACTATAAAACTACATTAAATGTGGATCACTGATTTATCGAAAAGATGCCTTTTATACATATGAAATGTTTACTTTATAAAAAAAAAACTAGCACGTAGCCCGTGCGATGCACGGGACATAAGTATTAATGAGTTATTTCCACATAACTTGTCCGTTAAGTAGCTCGTGCGATTCACGGGATATATTAAATGAGTGGACCATAGGGCTTGTCCGATCATGCCTAAAAATAATAGAGTTTGATCATCTATCTTTTTACATCTTTTCATCAACGTCATTTTTTTGTCGGAACATTAAACCTGATTCTGGTAGCGCTAGCCCGTAAATTAATTAATATATTATCTCGCTCACATGTTTATAATAATATAAATTTGATTTCATTATATATATTTATTCATTGATATAAGAAAAATAACAATTTTACGTAATCTTGTTCCTCGTATAATACTTATATTATTTAATTATAAAATTTATTTTAGTATAATGTCATTATTATTATAAGTTATAGATATAATCTTCTTCTTCTTTTTGTTTTATGTAATTAAAATATTTAATGTATGTTCATATTATTTTTTAATGTAATTAATTTAAACTAGTACAGAGCCCGTGCGATGCACAGGGTGCACAATTTTAAGGCTATTTATCCAGGTTTATAATTATATACATGAATAAAGAAAAATATACGGGATATATATAGTACGTGACCCGTGCGAAGCACGGGATATATTTATTTGGAGAATATCATATTATAAGATTCAATATTCAATAAAAGTTTATAATACGCAAGAAAATTGTACAATGTTCAATAAAAGTTTTATAATATTCAAGTGGAGTCTTAAAGTCTCTTGTACAATAAGACTACTAACAAGATAATATTTTAATCAATGAGTTTCTTTCCTTGTAGCCAAATTGTGAATGTGATTTGAGGAGTACAACAAATCGATATATAGCTGACTTGCTTTTTTCATTGTAGTTTTTTTTTTTCTTTTTATAACGAATTTAAAGATATACTAAAATATAGCAAAAATTAATTTTTTAATTACAATTAGGAATTTTACTAAATAAAGACTCTCAATCTATGGTGTTAATCAACGTTTAAGTCTAAAAAATTAGCAATTTTTACTTCTTTTAATCAACGTTTAAGTCTAAAAAAAATAGAGTTATTATAAGTTTTTTTCTACATCTTTTAAAACATTAAATATGAGCATGTTAGGGCTAGCTTGTAAAATAATTAATATATTATCTCAGTAAAACATTTATACTAATAAAAATTTAATTTTAGCATATAAATTTATCCCTTGATATCAGAGAAAGTAACAGTTTTACTTATTGTTGTTCACCATATAATATTTAATTATTATTTTATTATATAATAAAAAAGAAATATTGTTAAATAGTGTAGTAGAATTGTTATAAAATTATACGATTTTTTTATTTTTTTTTTTACAATATGGATTTAATATTTTTTTATGATTTGATAATATAAACAAATCTATACTTAACTTTGACAAATAAAACAAATAAATACTTTAGTAAGTATTTAATGTATATACTAAATAGGAATATATTTGGTATAATCAAATACCAAATATAATCAAATAAGTCAAAGTGTACATTTTTATTTGGTATTTGATTTTTTTATTATTAAAATCTTTTTATTATACTTACCTTTTTTAAAATAAAACAAATAATAAATCAATTAAATAAATAAAATATTATAATACCAAAATAGTAATGACATTTAATGCAGTTGACTTTTCTGGATAGTAAATATAGTAAATAGAATCTCATTTTATATAAGTATAGATATGATATTATATTATATTGCTCAAAATAGTAATGCATTTATTGCATTGACTTTTCAACTTACTAAATTTCGTAAATGGTACCCCTTATTATATAAGTATAGATTATTAAATAAATTTAAAGTAAAACATTTTGTACAAACATTTTACAAAATATACACAAATGTTTTTTTAGAATTTAATTTTTTTACAATAAATAACAGCTTTGAAATTCTAATGCAATTATTAAAACCGATTAAATCTGCTTTATTAAAACCGATTAAATCTTTATTTATAGGCTTGACATTAAAATCGATTTTATGAGATTTTTTTAACTAACCGCTGTTATGGAATAAAACAAATCTATACTTACATTTGACCAGCAAAGGTAAAAATTGGTTCTGATTTTTATCCCATAACAAATCTTTAATGTCAAGTTATAAAAACAAATATGTAATTAATGTCATTCTATTTCCAACAAACATTAATTACCTTTGACTTTTCTTTATACTAAATCTAGTAAATGGGATACCTTTTAATATAAGTATATCTATATCTATATATATATATGTATATAAAAAGGTTTGATTATTTTTAAAATAGTAACTATTTTCTGCGAAAAAAAATTCTTTTACTAATTTTAGAAATATATTATTCAATTTATGGTATTATGTCAAGAAATTAAGGAATGGCATTGTGTTGTCAAACCCGTGTGTTTATGAACTATATATGGTTAATGTGTCTGAAAAATGATTGTGTGCTGTATATTATTCAATTTAGGGATAGTATTGTGTTGTCAAAAAATGATTGTGTGCTGTGTAAATATTTAAACATGTGAATTTTAGATAGTTTAGTGAATCTTCTTTTTGATAAATATTGAAAGATTTATTTGGTATTAACCTTTAATAAAATCGTGTATCACAAATTGGTATTACCTTTAATAATTGGGAGATTCATTTGGTATTAATCTTTAATAAATTCGTGCATCACAAATTGGTATTAACCTTTAATAAAACCGTGTATCACAAAACGTGTGTCTATTGTTTGAATTGAAAATAATTGTTTGTGTTATTTTAGGAAAATAAAATATATTTTTATGTATAAGAGATATTTCCAAATAAAAGATATATTTTTTATATATATTATTTATATATGTCAAGAGGGCACAGTGTGTGTCTAAAATCCCGCCTAAAAATTTTAAAATTACTAAACTTGGTAATTTTTTATTAAATTTCAAAATCCGGCCTCTAGAATCAATTTATGGTATAAATTTGACAAAATTAATAAATTCAATTTAGGTATAAAGTGTGCAATTTTATTTTAGGTATTTGATAGCTATCTTTATTTTTAGTAAGAAATATGTTGTTATTAATACATGTCCGATTTATGGTATAAAGTGATCAATTTTATTTTTGTATGTAACTTCCGAAGTTAAATGCTAGGAATTTTATTTGGTATTGATAAAAGTGTACTTGAAAATTTTGAAAACAAAATAAGTGGTATGAAAACATTTTATTTGGTAAGGTATGAATCAAATTTTAGGTTAATTTGTTATAAAATCAAGCTGATATGTATTCTTCTTGAAAATCAAAAAGATCTTTGAACAAAAATTATTTAATAAAATTTAAAATTTGTAATTTAATTCTAAGGTAACCATCAACAAACTAGAAAATTGCGAGATGATATATATATATATAAGAATTTATTGTGTAGTCCAAATTTGGGTTCCAAAACTAAAAGTCAAATAAGTAACTATTCATAACTTACGGGTAAATATTAACTTGGACGTAAATAGAATAGTCAACTATTTATAGTTTAATAAATTACTCAACTACTTAATTTTTTTTATTTGGATAGCTCATACAAAAAAATAAATATATTTTAGTTAATAAAACAATATAAATATTATAATTATACTTATTATTGACATAGATTTTTAAATATATCATAAAATTTTATCAAAATATTTATTTTATGGAATCACATTGTAGTTAAACTAAATTTCTAAAAATTTTAAAGACACTTATTTTAAAATAAATATAATGTAATTTATTATTAGTTACGTGCTCCGTACGGACTGTGTACTAATCTTCATATTTTTAATTTATAAATATTGTTTAATGAATATTTTTAATTTATAAATATTAGTGAATATCTCTTACCCTCGCACGAGATTCGTACTAGTAGATAATAATTTTTATATGATTATTTTGGATTCAAGATACAAAAATTATTATTTTTTTATTCAAGATAAGAACGATTACATGTATATTAGGAAAATTTCGGTATCAACTCATGAGCTGTCAAAAATGTTTGGTATTTAAATCTTAAACTTTGTCAACTTAAAGAATGATTCTATTACCAAAATTATGCTTGTTAGAAAAGTAAAAGAATGAATAGTAAAATTTTTATGAAGTTTTAGATAAAACTAGTACGTACCCCGTGTGATGCACGAGACAAAAATATTAAATGAGTTATTTTTATTGTCTTTGTCCGTTTAAGTATATAAAGCAATAGGTTTATCATCTATTTTCCACCTCTTTTAATCATTAATGGCATGATTGGTAGGAAGGAATGACATGAGAATGGAATGATCATTCCTTTACTCATTCCTTATTCCATGATTGGTATATTTTTTGGAAAGAATGACCATTCCAATGGGAATGGCAAAACCCATATCCATGGGATTAGCCATTTTATAGTAAATAGAAGGTTTTCTCATTCCCATGTGTATAAGAATCAATTTTTTAAAAAATAAAATTAACATATAATAATAAAAATAAATATATATTATATATTATAAATCACGATTAAAATATACTAAATAAAACTATTTAAAAAAAATCAAATAAAATTTTTTATTTTATTTGTAATTAATATATTAAATACTTATATAAAAATAAAACTAAAAAAAGCATTTATATATAATTTAAAAATATATTATTTTATTTTTATATATTATTAAGAATATATTATTTTTTATATATTAAAAATATATTACTTTTAAAAATATATTATTATAAGATCTGAATGGAATGACCTTATTATTGTATATTATTAAAAAATTATTTATATATAATTTATTAAAAGTATATTATTTTTTAAAAAAAGATTTTATTTATTTTTATAATAAAAAATGATAATATCATCTCATTCTAGTCTTATTCCTTCTGCATACCAAACGCATCAATGACAAAACATGTTTCATTCCATTCCCATAATCATTCCATTCTTCAATTCATTCCATTCCTACGAAATTTCATTCCATCATACCAATCATGCCATAAGTGTAATAAACAATAAGATTATAATCTATTTTGCACATCTTTTAATCAGCGTGGTTTTTTTAGTCAAAACATTAAATGAGCATGTTAGGGCTACCTTGTAATATAATTAATATATTATCTCACTAACGCTTTTATACTAATATAAATTTAATTTTAGTATATATATTTATTCCAAAAGAGAATAACAATTTTACTTATTCTTGTTCACCATATAATACTTAATTATTATTTTATTATAAACTTTGTTGTCATATAATGTCATTATTATTTAAAGTTATAAAAGTTGTACGTCTTCTTTTTCTTTTTATTTTATGTAATGAAAAGTATTTAATGCACGTTAGTATTATCTATTTACGTAATCAATTTAAAATATGTAAATAAATTTAAAATTAAATAGTGTGTAAATATTTTACAAAATATCTCTTAAATAGTAAATTATATTAATTTTAAGAACAATTTATTTTTTATATTTAACAAAATAAAGCTTAAGAAAAAAATATATTGACAAAGATTAATTCACCAACTTCATTTTGTCTGATTACTTGGAAAAACAATTCTACCTAACCTGTTACGATTTTCCATAAATATTTTTGGATAAAAAGTGGGAATATCAATGAAAGTATTATAAATATTAACAAAATAATATTTATCTTGACTAAAATATTATCAACGTGGATCTCGCAAAATCAATATTTTAATTTATTATAATAAATATCAATGAAAGTATTGCAAATATTAATAAATTTATTTAATTAATTTTTTTGATCATATCTTATTTGAAAACGTGTATATGGAAGTTATTAATGTATATATTTAAAAAGTTTCCAAAAATAGTATGTATTAAATGGTTCCTAAATTTTTTGCTACTATTTTTAATAAATAGTAATTCTTATTATATATATATAGATTTAAGGAATTTTATCCATGATTTCATATGGCATTCTTGAGTTTAAAAGTCAAATTATTTTTGAAATTTTCATATTTAGTAAAAATAAAAATTTTAGGTGGGATTTTTTTGTTATCTAAGGTAAATTCTTAGCCATTTTATATAACAACAACAACAGCAATTCGTTAAACGAATAAAAGGTTATACTCGAGCTCGACTTGTTTATGAACACCATAACTCAGTTCGACTTAAATTATTTAATAAATATTAAATCGTAACTGAGTTGTTCAAAAACTCGAAGTGTTTATACCCAAACAAGTTCGACTCGACTATTTCATTAATAATTGACAAAAAAATGACATGTTTGGAAGTAAGCTCAGGTTCACTCATGTAATAAATTGACTTACTTTTAATAAATGAGCTCCTTTAATTGTTCGAGCTCGGTTTGTTTAAGTAAACAAATTAGTCGAGTCCGAGCTTTCATGAATTGAATCGAGATGTGTACGCGAACAACTCAATCCAAATATTAACTCTAATTGATTATAGTTTTGGGTCAAATCGTGCCTACCTCGGCCAACCGGCCCATGGACCGCGAACGATCTAGGTTCGTTCCGGTTCCGGGTCCATGATTCCGAGCCCGTCGGCCTGGACCCAACCCGTGTTTTGGCCATGTCTAGTCTCCTTCGCGGTGTGCCTCCCTTTCGCCGGCCGGCTGACCGACAACTTCTGTAGCGGCGCTGCTCTCCACCGAGGTGTCGGCAACCTCTCCATCCTGTCGTCTCACTCTTCTTGGCATGGCGCGTCTTAGTCTTCTGGTGTCCATGGCGGATTTTGAGGGTGCAGTCCGAATTTTGTTTGGCGAGTTTGCGGTCACTGGATTCTTTTGCCGCTGTGGTGGGGGAAGGGACTAAGTCCGACGCCGTCTTCCCCATGGATCCTTGCTACCTCCTCGTGTTGGAGCTTTTGGATCCGACTGGGGGTGGTAGGTCGCAGTCGGTGGTGGTCGACTGCTACGGCCCGGTTTGGTGTTGGTGGGTCGACTCGGTGTAGTTCTTGTTGATTTCGGTGAAAGGAGGTTAGGCTCATTTTGGTTCGAGTCTAGTTAGACATTTGATTACAGTTTCTAGATCTAGGCTGGTCCATTCTACTTTCATTGGGATTCGTGTAATTCGGTTGTTTGCTGGCGGTTGCTAAGGGCCTTGTTTCCCTTTTTTTTCCTTTTCGTTTAGTTTGTGCGTGTTGTTTCGTATATGCCGTTTGTTTCGTGGTCTAGTTGTTTTTCTCCTGTTTGGGAGCGTCTTATTCTCTTGTTTGAGACTTTGTATTCTCCACCTATAAGAGCTGAATAGTTAGTCGTGATGTGAGTGCGTTAGCTTAATTGCTTCTAGGCTACCTTTGCGTAGGCTTCCTGTATTCAGCTATGTAACTATTTTTTAATTGTAATTTTGTGATTTTTAGTTATATATATTTTCTATTATTCTAAAAGAAAAAATAAAAAATAAAACAAAAACAAAATTGCAATCAACACATTTTCCTCATGTCTCACTCAAAACATACGAGACGAGTAAATACAGCATCCCTACTATCCGTACGTCTGACGCCGTTACTTTTTTTTTACCGGCGCAGGGGTTTATCCATCCGTGCTTCAATTAACACGTGAACGCTGAGATATTTTTATGCAAATTTTAAGCTTTATTTGTGCACGAGCTGAATCACACACCACAAATTTGCCGGGCCATGGCACGACCCCATCTCATCGTCTTCTTCTGCCTCAAGGACAGTTTATATAATCCAAAAATCGCTCATAAATTGATTATGATTTCGTTTTCCTTCTTCCTTCTGTCAAGCATCCAGAAAAGAAAAGCACAACACTTTCTTGTTCCGTGTCTTGTTCATTTTTCTGTAATTAGTAATTTATTACAGCAGTTTCTCCTTTCTTTTTTTCTGGGTTCTCTCGAAAGTTTGGAAATTGGGAAGCTTTCCTTCTTGTTGTCCCAAGAAACTTTGATGGGTTCTCTGAATATTTCGAGAATTGAGGCATAACATAAGCTTTTTTTATTCTTTTTTTTTTTTTTAACNTGTGCGAGAGGTTGTAGAGTTTTACTAAGTAGGATTGATGAATCAGAATATGTTCAGCTCCAAGCTGTTGTGTTCCGGTTCGGAGATGATGCTCGCAAGCCCTTTTCTGAATAGCTCAAGGCATTTGGCCGGAGCCGGTTCACGGTATTGTTTTTGCAGAGGTAATTGATAATTTGATATGGTGCCATGTGATTATTGTTGCTGAGTTTAAGGCATCAAGACATTTTAGTTATTCGTATTGGTTAAATAAAGTTAAAATCTTGCATTTCTGTTCATATACTTGTGCCTACTTACTTGATTGTTCTTTGCCTACTCGATTTCAGGTGTGTAGATTAGTGAGATCCAAATCTTGATGAGTGGAAGAAGTTTTTTTGTTTATTGACAAGAACTTATGCCATATAGTTGCACCACACCAAGACCAAATTGTAGCTTTTTCGACATCTTTCTCGATTTTTTTCGTAACTCTTGAGGGTTTTTAACATTGTAGGTTCCAAACATGTAGTTTAAGGCATTAAGAAATGTAGTCATTCGTGTTGGTTAAATAAAATTGAAATCTTGCATTTATGTTCATATACCTGTGCCTACTTACTTGGTTGTTCTTTGGCTACTCGATTTTAGGTGTATAGATTAGTGAGATTCAAATCTTGAGGAGTGGAAAATTGTTTTGTTTTTTGACAAGAAATTATGCCATATAGTTGCACCAAAGATCAAATTGTAGCTTTTTGAACATCTTTCTCGATTTTCTTTTTGGTAACTCTTGAGGTTTTTTAATATTGTAGGTTCCAAACATGTTGTTTAAGGCATTAAGACATGTGGTTATTTGTGTTGGTTAAATAAAGTTGAAATATTGCATTTCTGTTCATGTACTTGTGCCTACTTATATACTTGGTTGTTCATTGCCTACGCGATTTTAGGTGTATAGATTAATGAGATCCAAATCTTGATGAGTGGAAGAAGTGTTTTGTTTATTGGCAAGAACTTATGCCATATAGTTGCACCACACCAAGACCAAATTGTAACCTTTTTGAACACCTTTCTCGATTTTTTTTCGTAATTCTTGAGGTTTTTTTTAACATTGTATGGTCTTAAGAATTGTCATGAGATGTTTGTTTATCTGTAAAGGTGCTCAGGTAAAGGCTTCATACTCGAATTCTCCAAGAAATGGTAATTATGGTACGGTTTCAGCTACACAACAGGATCTATTGGACTCTTGTTCGTATCGAATTAATGGAATTAATGGTTCGGAAAATAGTTCGTTGTTGAATAAAGATAAAGTCTTGGATGCATCTGATGACGGGTATGAAGGAGTAGTGATCAATCCAGATAAATTGCCGACTGATACAAACGAATTTGCCTCTCGACTTCGTTTTTCTCTATACCAATGGAACATAAGGGTATATAATTTCTTGTTTTATTCATTTACATATATAATAACTATCTTTCTTTTGGATAGTTGAGTTGAATTTTAGCTATTTTTCCATTAGTTTGTGTTTGTTGTTTGAAAAACTCTAAAGTAAGCGATGATTATCAGTTTCTAGCCACAAACGTATGTGTAAAATTTTCTTCGATCAGAAGTTGAGAATCAATCACATTTTTCATCAATTGTTTCTTAAGAGCTTGTGGATAAAAAAATTCAGGGAAAGAAGGGGATTTGGCTCAAGTTGCCGTTGGAAAGATCTAATCTCGTTCCTATAGCTGCACAGGTGAATATGTTTACACGATAATTAATCATTCCATCTTTTTTTTTTTCAGAACACTTTTCCTTTTTACGTTACCTAAGGACTTGGATTTGTTCAGGAACGATTTGAATATGAATAATTCGATCTTTTTTTCAGAACACTTTTCCTTCTTACATTAATTAGGGGGTGTTTGTTCATAATTTTTTTCAATTCATACTCAAAATTTAACTCAACTTTAACCAAACCTCATTATTCTCAATATTATTAGTATAATTAAATAATATCAACCAATCATTCTTAGACATCACATCATCTACTCACATAATTTTAATTAACCGTTACTTCACATCATGTCTCTCCTACTTTTACATCAAATGAACTGTGTTTATTTTCAATATTATTTTAAGATAAACTCAAAATCCTACTAACAACTAATCATACCAAATTTATCAAAATTAACTCTGATTAACCTAGAAAACTCGGTTTGAGCGAATATATTTGTGCAGGAAGGATTTGAATACCATCACGCAGAGAGATCGTATGTCATGATGACTTACTGGGTCCCACAGGGACCTTGCCTTCTTCCTCCAAATGCTTCCCATCATGTTGGAGTCGGTTCTTTCGTGATAAATCATAAAAATGAGGTATGTTTTCCCCCATAAACTATTTTGTGAGAATATATAATAATACGCAAATCTTTTCAATATGTTTTATTTTTGTCTTTAAAAATCGTGTTAGGTGCTCGTCGTGAAAGAAAAGCATTGTGCTCGGGAGCTTGTTGGTCTCTGGAAAATACCAACCGGTTTCATTCTCGAGGTATTTTTCAATTTCATGCATGTTTTAAATTAGCAGTAGCTTATAATCGATAAGTAGAATGTTTTTCTGCACATGATTATAATGTTGTTTGCCGGTCAGTCAGAAGAAATCTATAATGGGGCTGTACGAGAAGTAAAAGAGGAAACTGGGGTAAGAAAGAAACTCATATGCTTATTTGCAATTTTCGACTAATTAATGTCTACCGATATAATCCTTCCATTTTCTGAACCTTAATTTTTCCCCAATTCTTGTTAATAGAAAAAAAAATATCATTTTGTTTTTTCCAGATCGACACGGAATTCGTGGAAGTTGTTGCTTTCCGGTAAATGTTATCTTCCTTTTAGATTTGGATTCGATATTTGTCTAGGCAAAAATGCATTTTTAGTCCTATTGATTTAACGCCACGGCAATTTTAGTCCCAAGGTTCTAATTTTTCGTCTTTTGTCATGTGGTTTAATATTTTGCTGCGATTTATATCCTTTGAGGACTGAAATTGCGACAAAATTTTCAATTAGAGGATTGAAATTGCAACAAAATTCTAAATTATAGGACTTAAATTGCTAATAAGAAATCTATAATTGGGGAATATGTTGCAACTTCAGTCATCAAAGGACTCAAATTGCAATAAAATGTTAAATCACATTAAATCACAGGACAAAAATACAAAATGTTTGAATTTTGTAAATTACTATGGCGCTAAACAAGGACTAGAAAATGAAATTTACCCTATTTGTTTATAAGGCTCTTTAGTATTATTTCACAATTGCATACTACATTTAACTAAAGATTCTGCTTTTAACAAAAATGGTTATGAGTTTCGTGTAGCCCAGATATTAGTTTTTGGCTGGAGAAAATAGAGAAAAATGCATAATTATTAACATGATCTCTCATTTGCAGGCATGCCCAGAATGTTTCCTTCGAAAAATCGGATATGTTTTTCGTCTGTATGTTACGACCTCTGACAACTGAAATCATGGTTGACGATGTAGAGATTCGAGCTGCCAAGGTACAATTTGTTATATAATGCACAAAAAATTTATACAAATGAAAATTTAAACTCGAAAATTAATCTCCCAGCAGCAAACTAATTACCGTGTGCTTTGTTTTTGGAGCCTTTAAGCGAAACTTACCACGAGAGAATACATAAAGAACCAATCACAAACACTACTTGTTAATATCGATTTTTTTTAGCGTTACGTTACGTAAAATTTATCTCTCGTGTCGATTTTATTCGCATTTTGCAGTGGATGCCTCTGAATGAATTTGTAAACCAGCCTTTAATAGTAGGGGACAACATGTTCAAGAAAATTGTCGAGATTTGCATGGCTCGGCTAGGAAAGCGCTATTGTGGACTGTCTGTACATCAACTGGTTTCTAAATTTGATGGCAAATTATCCTCATTGTATTTCAACATGATTGAGTATCAAGATTCTGGTTGTGAAGCTAACTAACTGAGGGAAATTTGATCAATTAAAAAAAAAAAACCATTGTAATATTTATATCATGTAATGTACATAGCAGTTGTGCAAAATGCATTCTTTGTGCCTATGATAGACATTTTTATCAGTAATTTTTTTGTTAGTTTCACTTCTCCATTTTCCTTTCACCTCTGCTAAGGTTGATCATTTTTTTTTCCTTCTATTCTTTGTGCCTTTTTAGTTTAAGTCTTTGAGAAAGCTTTAATCCAATGTTTGAAACCCGGCGAGGTAATCGACCAGGGCTGGCCTCAATGTCACCGGTTCAACTGTTGGGTCAATTGCTGAAATGAGTAATTTGTTTAAAAAAAAAAATTGTATATACTATTTTTATCTCATGAATATACTTAAAAATAATAAATATAAATAATTTCTATAAAAAATTTATATGTCAAAGTCTTAATAGTATAGTATGTCAACATAAGTATTTCCCTTACAATATATGTAAATAATTTTATTTTCGAAAAGAAAAAATGTATAATGATTGTGTGAAATCGGATTGACCCTGGTGGATCAATGTTCGGGTGGATTGGGTCAAAGCTAAATTTGACCGTGTTTGACTGGGTCTATTGTTAGTCGGTCCCAATGATCGACTCAGACCATTCGTGGCTCTAGGTCGACCTGTCGCGCCAGTCTGGGTCTAAAATAATTATGCTTTTATCACCTTTTTTTTTTTTTTTCATTTCNTTTTTTTTTTTCATTTCTTCTCTTTATGTCTTTTAATTTTGATCTTGAACGCAATGTTACAAATCTTGTATCGAATTACACGGGAACTTATGACCTGAAGATGGTGATTTCAGTTATTACAACTTTAACTAAAAAACTGAAACAAAAGTTACAAAATAAAGCAAAAAACAAGTCGAGGCGATTGCTCTTTCCGCAAGATGAAATTGCCCCGTATAGTGCTAACGGGTTCAGGTGTCTCGTCCCCAAAGATATAATGGTTGACGTCTCGAAGGCTGTAGCACACTAACTTTCGAGCTCCGATGAACTTAAATGTAGTCGAGAATTGAGCACTTGAATGTTATGATGCGCGAGGCTTTGAAGAGCTTGCAGATTTTCAGATGATCGTGTAAGTATTCTGCTGCTCTATAACATGTCTTATTTATAGGACTTCTAGCATAATGGGGATGACTTCTGGCTTTCATCACCTTGTAACAGTTAAGTCACTAACAACCACTCATGGTTGTTGTTAATTGGAAAACGGTTTCAGGTGTTACACCTTCAATCCAACTCCAAAACCCGAGTCGAAATCCAACTCAGTTTGGATATTATTTTTGGGCTTAAGAATTGTAAATAAATTTGCACCAAAAAGATATATAGTGGTTGGATCCAAGACCCAAGCCCAATGTCGACCCGAACTGTCCAAGGCTGCTCAAGTTCAGTCCACAGTTCAATTACTAAGTATTAAGTCCCAAGTCCCAGGCCCGAAGCCAACACTATCACTTGGTGCATAGCTTTGTTGTTATTGTGATCTCTCCAACTCTCTTTATTATAGTAAAGAGAGTTAATCTAATTTAAGAGTCCAATTGGAATGACTCTTGACCTTTCGAATCCCACAACATTCATTTTACGTACCAATTTATGGCGAACTTTAATCATTTATTTCTCACTTACCAAAATCAATTTTAAAAAAATAAATATACCACGAGTATTTACTCGGAACGTATAATTTTTCTATATAACTTAATTCAGCCCGAACCATAAAAAAATCAATCAAAATCGAGTTAAACCAATTTTATAACCGATTTTTCCAACCTGCAATAATTTAAAGCATGTATAAATTGTAAAGTACATGACCTTGAAAAGATAAACAAATTTGTTGTATGTCGAGTCACTGTAAGAATTATTCGACTAAAAAGAAAAATCATGATGGTTATAACATGCAAATTTATAAATTAAATAAATAAGTGAAATCACTTATAATTTGTAAATAGCATAGTTTAGAAAATATGAATTTTTAAATTTAAAAATATATTTACGTTAAAGTATTGTGCATTAAATTTAATTATTTTGGCATTAAATAATAGGAGATCATGTTTTAGTTTATTTGTGTCCTATATTTTGAAAAATTTGTTCCAAACAGTGAGCGTGGGCGACTGCTCCAATTTCCAAATATTAGTAGTATTATATTCATCACTATATTGAATATATAAAATTAAATAAATAATGTAGTTTTTATTAATTTTATGAATCTTGACCTATTAATTATCTTAAAAAGTAATAAAATTATTGTTATTATTATTGTTATTATTATTGTTGTTGTTGTTGTTGTTGTAATTTTAAGAGGTTTAGTTATACTACTAAAGTCAATTAGCATATTTAAAAAATACTTAATGAGATGCACGATAAATATTTTAAGAAAAAAGTTTGCAATATAATTTTTTATACTTATTGAACTTCCATGTATCATTTAGTGTGAAATATAATTGGTTAGTTTTAGTAATAACTATTATATAATAAAATAATTAAAAAATATGATTATACTTTAATTAACCATAATGTTAAAAAAGTCATTGTTAGATTTTAGTTACAAGTTTTATAAACAAAATATTATTAGATTTAAACAGAAAAAAGACAGGAAAACTCAAATAGTTTTATTAAATTTTAATGCTAGCAATTATATTGTTAATTTAGATGTCTTTTTTGAAACGCTTATCCCCCAAATTTGAATTACATAAAAAATGACTCATATTTTTTCCATTCTCTAATAAAAAAATACAATTTTCATTCATTTTTATTTTTTCCTCAATTTTTCCAAACATATTATTTATATTATTTTTATAAAATTTAGTCATGATGTACTCACATATTTACTAATGTCAATCATTATTTTATTACTTTTCTATCACATTATCGATAATGAATTTTGTTATTATTACTATTATTATTATTATTATTGTAATTTTAAGAGGTTAGTTATACTACTAAAATCAATCAGTATATTAAAAAAATGCTTAATGAGATGCACGATAAATATTTAAGAAAAAAGTTTGCAATATAATTTTTTATACTTATTGAACTTTCATGTATCATTTAGTGTGATGTATAATTGGTTAGTTTTAGTAATAACTATTATATATAAAATAATTAAAAAAATGTGATTATACTTTAATTAACCATAATTTTAAAAAAGTTATTGATTAGATTTCAGTTACAAGTTTTATAAAAAAAGATATTATTAGATTTTAACAGAAAAAAGACAGGAAAACTGAAATTGTTTTATTAAATTTAATGCTAGCAATTATATTTTTAATTTGGATATCCTTTTTGAAACGCTTATCCCCCAAATTTGAATTACATAAAAAATGACTCATATTTTTTCCATTCTCTAATAAAAAAATACAATTTTCATTCATTTTTATTTTTTCCTCAATTTTTCCAAACATATTATTTATATTATTTTTATAAAATTTAGTCATGATGTACTCACATATTTACTAATGTCAATCATTATTTTATTNCCATATTCACTCACATTCAATAATCCAATCATCATAACAAAAATCTTGAAAACAATTTAGAATTAATAGAACCAAATGTCCATAACAATTCTCTCATTTCATATCTCATGAGGCAATCCAGTTATTCAATCCTTGACAAAATGTTGTTCTTGATTTCTTCAATATGAAATAAAAGGTATATATAAGGCCACAAATTGGGGTGAAGTGAACCCTCATCCTCTAAGAGTTAATTGTCTATCTTGTTCCAAATTATTAGTTCTCTAAAAATGACTTTCCACATAGTATTTCCCATCCTTTTATGTTCTTTTGCATTGCAACAAGCAAATGCAATAGATAACAATTTTAACACATACTATTCATACCTTTGGGGAGGTGACCACTTCACACTTAATCCCCAAGGAACAGAAGCCCAACTTAAATTTGACAGTGCCACAGGTTATATATAAGCAAATCAATAGAAAAAAAAAAATACCTTAATGCTTTTATAATGCATCACATTTTAAATTGCACAATGTGTTTAATTTATTATTGGCAACCCCTAAATATATATATATATATATGTATATATATTTGTACTTAAAATTCTTTGGTTTCTATATACAGGTGCAGGATTTAAGTCAAAGTCAGATTACGGGTCGGGTTTGTTCCATATAAAGATGAAAATTCCGGCTAAAAGAACACAAGGAGTTATTACAAGCTTCTTCGTAAGGATCTAAGATAAATCTATAAATAATGTCGGGTTCTAATAAAAAAGACAGTCCCAGTGTCAGATTATTGAGAGACGTGTAACGAACTTGTCCACGATACCCAATAAACTACGTAAAGTATAATTAAAATGATAATTGAACTTATAAATTAAACATTTTTTCTAAAAAAATATCATCTCACAATTTGATGTGGTTTTTTTTTCAATATATTTATATTTATTTTATTTATGTTTGGTTAACAGTTGACCGAGGTCCCAGTTGGTCAGAGCCCATATGAAAATCATTTTGAGGTAGACTTTGAGTTTATTGGCACCAATGGGTCTGTCTCTACCAATATATTTGCCAATGACAAAGGATATAGAGAACAAGTCTTCCAACTATGGTTCAATCCATCCCAAGATTTTCACAGTTATGACATCCTTTGGAACACCCACCAAATAGTGTAAGAATATTATATAAAAAATTATTTATTTTTCTAATAATTATTATTAATATATAGAATTAAATACTATATGGTTTAAAAACAATATTTCCAACTATATAGAAAATTACATTACCCAAAAAAAAAATATTTTTTTCATGTAAACCAAGATTTATCTCATTTATATCGAAAATTAAACAAAAATAAAGTCACAAAAAACTACTCGTTTCATCTTATAACTTTTTTTTCTCTATAATCTTACCAACTTTTTTTTCATTCCTATATATTTTTTCAATAAAAATCACTATTCAGCTATTCACATATTTTTATCAAAATCAATATTTATTATTCTTATATGGCATTAACTTAACGTTGTTTTTCAATATCTCTAATTCCAAACCAGAACCGAACTTCTCGAAACCTCTTAATATCCAACCGCAATTTACTTTAGAAAAAAATGCACCATCCATTATTAATTAAATTTATCAAAAAGTACGAAAACTAATGCGAAATATTAACGATCGCGCTCGATCTTTATATAGTTTCTTGGTGGACAATATTCCGATACGAGTTTTCAAGAACAACGTGGCGCAAGGGGTAGCCTTTCCATGGTCACCAATGCACATTGAGACGAGCATGTGGCACGCGGAGTGGGCCGGGCCAGTGGATTGGAGTCGGGCCCCTTTCATTGCTTCGTATTCGGATTTTGGGTTCTACGCTTGCGCAAGGAATGTCTCGAAATGCGGCTCGCCACAGTATTTTTGGAATGGTCCGAAATATTTGGAGCTAAATACTGCCCAAAAACAGCAAATGGCTGAGTATAGAAGAAAGTACATGATCTATGACTATTGTACTAATCCAAACTTAAGGAAGAAAGAATGTGATTGGAATTAGTGTGTTAAGAGTGTTTGATGTATTGCCCAAAAAAGTCAAATAAAATTGGTCTATATTATAATAATTTGTTAATTTATATCATTTAATAGACTTGATGTATAAATTTATCATTCTCTAATTACACTTGCTACATAATTTATATAAAAATATATCAAATTGAAAATTATCAAAATGTATATATTATAAAAAAATTGATAACAAATAAAAGAAATATAAAATTATACATATGATTTAAGTTAAGGACAAACAAAAGAAAATGCCCAAAATGTGCATATGCTTTCTATTTGCCAATTTGCAGCTAAGGACAAACAAAAGACGGCTTCGCCTCCAGATTTAGTAATCAAATTCACACACGTGATCAAAATCAACTCCTTTCATTTTTCTGTAACAGAACCTTCATAGAAAATGCCATGTATCCCTTAACATAAATTAATTAATCCCTCCAAATTTGAATACTCCCAACAACAACTAAAAGAAAAAAGATAAAAATAAAAGCACAAAAATTACACTTGCAATTTTTTATTTTATTTATTTTTCAGTAATTTCATCCAAATGCAATGAATTAAACGAACCCCATTCTGTTATATACTTATATACAAGTGATCAGCATCTCAATTTTGCATATAATA